GTTCTAGACACAAGGGCACAACAGGAAAGGACAGATGGGATCCCCGCTTGTAAAGAACAGTGGACAGGCAGACTTCAAGCCACGATCACTAAATACCACCAAGTAAATAGAGGAAAGTGTTAAGTAATGAAATACAACAGGGGGTGGGGTCAGGAGTAACCAGATGGCTACATTCATTTGGGAGGCCAGGGAGAGCCTCTCTGACAATTAAACAAAAGCTGGAATAACAAAATGTGCCTGCCACTCAAAGACAGGGAAAAGCACTCCAGGCAGAGGGAACGGCATGTGCAAATGTCAGGAGGTTTGAACTAACTTAATAAAAAGAATAGCAAGGCAATAAGTAGGATGAGGAAACAAAATCAGGACCACGGAGAAGAGAGTGACGGGGGTGGGGGGAGGCCCAGTGGGCTCTATGGAAATGGCTCTAACGTAAGACCTGAAGCGGGTGGGAGATGAGGTTGAAAGGTCCAGCGGGGCCCGGATCTTATATGGCCCTGCACGCTGTGGCGATGGGGTTGAGTCCTGTTTGTTTCCACTGGGAAGAAGCCATTGGAGGGGTTTGAGCAGGGAAGGGGCGGGAATCAGGTGTATGGTTTTTTAAAAATTCCTGGCCGCTTTGCAGAGAGTGGAAGTGTTTGAAATATGAGCTGAAAGCATTTTAAGTTGAGAAGGTTTGCTCATCAAAATCAAAAATGAAGGTGGAGGCAATGTTCACAGCAGCACTATTTACAACAGCCAAGACGCGGAAGCAGCCTAAGTCTCCATCCTCAGATGACTGGGTAAAGAAGCTGTGATCTATTTATACAATGGAATACTACTCAGCCACAAAAAAGAATGAAATAATGCCATTTGCAGCAACATGGATGGACCTGGAGATGGTCATTTAAGTGAAGTAAGCCAGAAAGAGAAAGAAAAATACCATATGAGATTGCTTATATGTGGAATTTAAGAAAAAAAAAAAAAGAGAGACACACACACACACACACACACACAAATGAGCTTATTTATAAAACAGAGACTGACTTGCCTACATGGAAAACCAGCTTATGGTTACGGGGAGAGGAAGGGAGGGATCGATGGGGAGTTCAGGATTTGTAGACACTAACTACCGTATGCAAAACAGGTAAACAGCAAGGTCCTACTGCAGAGCACAGGGAATATATTCAATACCTTGTAATGGCCTATAATGAAAAAGAATAATATATATATGTGTGTGTGTGTGTGTGTGTGTGATGTGTATATCTCTGAATCGGTAGGCTATACACCAGAAAGTAACACAACATTGTAGATCAGTTGTATCCCAATATTTACAAATTTTTCAAAAGAAGAAAATAAAGACTGTGCAACTGAAGAAAAAATGAAGGTGAAGGAAGCCTGGTGGTTCCTCAGCAAGTTAAACATAGAGTTACCGCATCACCCTGCAGCCCCACTCCTGGATGTATGCTCACGAGGAATGAAAATGGGCGTTCAAATGAATACTGACACATCCATGCTCACAACAACACTATTCACAAGAGCAAATATACACATAATATAAAATGCACCACTAGGGAAACAACTGAAATGTCCATCAACAAATGAACGGGGAAATAAACTGTGGTCCATCCATTCAATGGAATAGGGTTCAGGCCTAAAAAGGAATGAAGTTCTGTAGATGCTGTGACGTGGATGAACCTTGAAGACGTGATGCTGAGTGAAGTAAGTCAGATACAAAAGGCCACGTACTGTGTGATTCCATGCATGTGCGATGTCCAGAACAGACAAATGTGCAGAGACGGAAAGTGGACTGGCAGTTGCCAGGCGCTGAGAGGGAAGTGGGGGTTGGGGAGTGACCCATTAATGGGGACAAGGTTTCCATGTAGGGAGATGGACAGTGGTGACGGTTGCACAACACTGTGAATGTACTAAATGCCACTGAATGATACACTTTAAATGGTAGAAATGGTGACTTTCATGTAACACGATTTTTACCAAAATCATTAAAACAGAAGGCTACCACTCTAGTGGGGATGCCGATGTGGGAGACTGAGCGTGGGTGGGGACAGGGCGTACACGGGAAATCTGTACCTTCCCCTCAATTCTGCTGCGAACCTGAAACTGCTCTAAAAAATAAAGTTCATTTAAGAAAAAAAAAGGAGGGGAAGGGTATCGCTCAAGAATGCATGCTTAGCATGCACAAGGTCCCTGGGTTCAATCCCCAGTACCTCCTCTAAAAATAAATAAATAAGTAAACCTAATGACTCCTCCCTAAAAAAAAGAAAAAAAAAGGAATAGAGGAGGAAACAGTGATGAAGGAGGGACCGGGGAGAAGGGAAGGAAGGGAAAGAAAGCCCTCGTTGCTCACACCTGTCCTGTGGTGCTAAGCCGCCTCACCACGCCCCCTTGTGGCGGCTGAAGTTTGGGGGTGGCCTTGGACAGAACTGGGCTGCCCCGTTCTGTCCCATGTAAAGCTAGCAGATACAGCTTCTGATATGGACTCTCCACTGAGGTTGTAAAACTTCCCCAGGACCTTCTTTCATCCCCGGTGCTCTATCATCTGGTTGAGCATCTGGGAGAAGCCTAGACGCTGAGCTGATCAC